CACACGAACATCGAACAAACACCAAACGGTATTATTTCATATTTGTTTGATAAGGCTAATTTCAAAAGGCATCGTTGTATGCTCGCCCGCAACGAGCGAAAGTATTATACATTTGGCTTTATATAATATAGTAATAGTCCAGGGTCGGGGTTGTAAACTTCAATCCGTGACCTCCATTTATACAACCTAGGCGTTATGTGGTACCGTCAGTTTCGTCCACGGTACACTGAAGGATAACTCTGTAGCTAGGTGTACGTAGTGTAGCCCATACAGGTAGATATCGTTCATGTGGCTGGCGTGCTCAAGTCTTCAACACGACAACGCTCCCCATTGAGACAAACAATTGATCATTTTTACAATACATTTTATACATAATGTTATTACAATAATTAGATTCAGATTTAATTTAGGTGAGATGAACTTTGTACAAGCTTGTTTTGCATGCCAAAGAATCATGTGCGTTCATCATGTAAGACCCTTGATATCAATCGAAGACGGTGTACTCATGGTCATTGTCACCATTAGATACCATTGTGTTATCACTATTTCAGTCATGTATTAATATTTAAGGGCCTTGCGAATATTTAATGTTCGCTAGTTTCCCTTAATATATAAAACTACTCATCTTATATAGATATACGTTAGTGTTAGCATGAAAGCGGAATGCGAGGACTTACTAAATTTATTAAATAGTTAGCATGGCCGCCTATTGCAAAAGGAAACCTATAATGAATGAATTATCAAGGATACTCTCGGCCTGGCGGACGTGTTGAGAGAAAGCAAATTTCATCCTATTATTATTTATACGGCAGTACGGCCGTATGTAATAGTTTGTTTCCCTGTAAGGTTGATCATTACTTGTGCTGTCGTTGTTTAGGTATTTTTAGTAGATCGCGTTCGATACGGATGTGATTGATGGACATTTGTGTGAATTACTTAGCTATTTACTATAATAAGGCACTGACTATCACTTATCTAGTTTATGGTCCTACAGTGACTAAATTCATACTCTCATCATTGCATTCGAATGTTTGCTACCTTATTTCATTGCGCGGCCTCGAACGTTACAACGTTGCAGGCATCACGGGCAACCCCACGATTCGCGGATCGTAATGTTGCCGATCTTTATGAAGTTCAACAGGCCTTTAAGCAGGCACATCGGTTTCAGCTTTTCTTCGGCTCGTATATAGGAGTACGCAGTGTATAAATTTAGAACAGCATTTGACCTGATGACGGCAAGGAAAACAACAAACTTAAGGCGTCTATAATTCTTCTCCGCTATAGCAGAGCCTAAAATAAAGCTTAGGCAATACTTCAGATTCTCGCGGTAGTTTCAATATTACGCTGAGGAGCAAGGCAAATAATATTACTGAAGTGCTGTAGCACCTTCAGGCTCAATAAAACTATCCTCTCCGCGTTATTGTATTGCAATACTGTGTAAATTGAGGAAGAAGGTATACGCATCGTCTAAAGTTATATGTTTCAAAATACATTATCTACATCTGTTAAGCACTCGCGTAACTTTAGCTGATATCTGCAAGTTACGTCACATCCTTTACTTAACTAACCTTAATCATGCTATTGACTGCTGCTGTATTGAAATATATTCATCATTTAGGGTTTCTCTGCACATTTTTCTCTCGCTGTGCCTTAAAGACAGCAGGCAAAATAAACCATATACACTTTAAAAGGCCTTACGCCCTTCAACCCAACAACTGAAAAATAGTTAATCGACAGGAAACTAAAATCATTGCTTCTTTCTCTCGGTATTTTATTACTGTGTTCGTATTCCAGCTATGCGCTTGGGTCATTCTCGTTTTTCTCGTGTGACGGCGACAACTGGAGTAGACTTTAGGTAAAAAAAAAAAACGCCTAGCTTACATCGGAATAACTTTTGAGCTGTGTTTATGTAATTTGAAAAACTCAATTGTCTATGCGATCGATAACCTAGCTTCCGCCAGAAAGTAAAAACGACTATTATTGTCCCAATGTAACACCAGAACCTCTGCTGAGAAAACTACATGGTATGACCTCAACTAGGTTTAGGGCAAAATACGTTTTCGTAGCATCTATTCATCGGGTTTTTTTTTTCGTAAAGAGATATAGCGGGTGCTAGAGTTAGAAGTTCGATGTTTTATTAGTAACGCATCAAATTAGAACGATCGTTGATTCATCTTAAAAAATGCCAACATACGTTTGCCACGGTACAGCTTTTTGCATTTACCGTACAACGAGTGCAATGTTATCAAGCCATCCCGCCTAGGTCTGCCTATCCAGTTTCCACAGCGACCACTATAAACTTTATCCGCTTCTAGAGCGTGCTTTTCTGTCCTGAAATGTTGCGGCCGTTTGAGGGTGCGGCAAGGCTTTGAGTATGCTCTACGCTATAGATCATGGGTGTCTGTCTGCTCTTAGGTAAAAGGCAGGCCTATTTCGTTTATCAAAGGAGCAGGTCACGGGATTTTATTTGGCCAGCTTGGCATCAGCACAGTCTTCTCTATAAATCCGTTGGAGAATGTTCTATCCGCATAATGTGATGTTATTCTCTATTCGGCTTCAACTGCCGCACGTTTCTTGTAAAGGATCCAGGCAATCATCCAGCCCATCCAAGCATCAGTCTGTCCTTAAATGTCCTACAGAAGGAACGAGGGAGATGTAGAGAGACGCCAATATTACACCGTAACAAAGATGTTTTCTACTCAAACCTATATCCGGCACTATATATTTATATTTAGAATTTTTCAGCAGATGATGATTGTACATCTAGGATTGACTGTGTAAAATATGTAAAAAAAAAAAGTACATAAATGGGTGACAATAAATTACAAAAATATTTATAAAGGGGTACTTATAATATTATGGCAAAAAAACGTCATGAATATTGTTCATATAGAAACTTATTGCATTCGTCTAAAATATGTTTGCGAGTCGATGTTTCTGACCAACATTTGTGTTCCTTATTACACGCGACCGAGGCCTCCAATATACCCATGCGTATTCATGATATACAGTCCTTTATGTCATTTTTACAAACAAAAAAAAAACAAATTCAGAGTTGACAAACTGACATTAGAAAAACTCCATGCGCCATCTGAGTGGCAAAAATTCTCTACATCGACAATGAGACGACTACCAGTCAGCATACTGGTAATATATAAGCGAAATAATGAAACATTTTCTATTTCGTTGATTTTCTACAAAGAAAATTCTGTTGCTGGGTAGCAATTTTTGCGGTGGCAACGTTAGTCAGTATACGATACACCGATGTATTAAGATTAAACGTTTGACAAGCTTCTGGCAATCTTGCCAACTGGAAGACTCATCAGGAAATCACACACATCATCCGTGTTAGCGCGTTATTCAAAAGTGCATGCCCACGTAGTATCGATGTACGCAAGGTCACGTTTTCGTTGTGTGGTCCTGCTTCTGCTACTACTCTCGCTAAGGAAGTCATCTCTATTACTGAGGGTATTTCTATGAAGAGTCCGTTAATTGCCTTCTAAGCTAAACCAGTAATTAGAAATAATGAGCAAGAAAACAGTTAATCAATAGAACTAATAGACTAGAATAGCTACTGAATTTCGTTCTAGCGTCTGATAGAGGCAAAGCATCGCCATAGCTGCGGACAAGGGCAAAAGAAGGAACATACGAACACTTGCCCCGGTGCAGAGCAAACTGGTGCCCGCTAGTGCTGTGACACGCTCGCACACAACTTTGTAGGTGTAACGAATCAACGCATAGTTGTTTCGTTGGGAAAAGTCAGTTAGATCGTTGTTGGACGAAGCGTACGGCGTCATTTGGCAATCATCCTTTACCCAACAGCAAACAGTCGACCTGTACCGTCTACTTAGGAGATCTCAAAAGGCCCAACAACAAGTTCAAGCGAAGCTACCCAAGATTTCATGTCATGCACACCTGCAGAGGAATTATTTTGAAAATGATAAACGAATGTCAGATAAAAGAAATTGTTAGGTTAAGTAAAGCGTATTGGGTGCTGGTAGACTTTATATACAAGTTATGTACGTTTGTAGCTTCTAATCCGTCTAAGTTAACCCTTGCCTAAGCTAAATAAACCAATTTTAATTTAAAAAATAAAAAAAGTTTAATTCAAAAAATAACGTTACCGAATTGCACTGTGTATTATGCATCCCTGTAGTTTGTTGAGTAGAGACTGTATGGATAGCCCCACGACATTTCATGATTTTTTTTCAAGAGGTTTTAAACGTAAGCTCAGTCGAATGGCAGATGCATTGTGGGGTAACAGAAATGAAATAATGATACTTGCTATGTGTTTCCATTTCTGTTAACCCGTAAGTCGGTATTATGCCATAATGGGCATATTTGCTATTCGACCTTAAACCTTGTCATCTAGGTCTATGTAAGAAGCGATCCGCTACAAGATCACCAAAGATGGTATTCCTTGAACCGGCAAATATCCGCTCTGCTTTCTGCCTCGATTGCTCCTGCTCTCTTTTTTCCACAGAACTCCGGAGAGGAATTATTTTAGGATTCCGACAGTAAATTTGGTAGATTTAGTAACTGACGTACGGATGTCAACTTAGGCGTGAATTTCCAATCCTTTACGTATTAGCTAGGGGCGTTTACAAGCCTCACTTGGACTTTTATCATGACACGTACCAGACTGCGCGGCAAATGCGGAACTCTAAAGTGATGCGCCTTAGTTGTTATCACAATGCTTTCCAAACTGGCGCAACTATTCAAGAAGTAACGTCTTACTTATATTGTTTGCAAAGAATGCATTTTCTAAGGGCGAACTTGGTGAACTGAAATCTTTTGAGGCAAATATATTGGATAAGTTCGCTAATTATCACATGAAATAAATCTAAAGAACGTTTATTTTCAAACGAAAGCGGTCATTTTCGCTGATTGAATATCTATTGTTTAACTGTTGTGTGGTAGCCTGGCAATCATATCAACTCTGACCACTCCGCTTATTTTAGATCTGTTCATTTTTCAGCCTATGTTTTTTGTTTTCGCAGGGTTTCCATTGGCAGTGTCAGCTGCTGCGTCGGTAATGTGGCGGCCAACTGCCCCTCTAGCCGGAGCGCTTGCGTTTGCCCCTGCAGGCTTTGCATCGCTACTAGCAGCCCCCGCTCCAGCCTGCTCTTCACTTCTTGCCACCCAAGCGCCGCAAGCGCCAACACAATCGGCCCAACTCTTCCGTAGGACGACGCTTCCGTCGCAAAATAGCTACCGGTTCCGAGCCGAAAGGTTAGTTTTCAGGGAGAACTCATCACAATGTGGTCCTACCCAGCCGTGAGTGTGCCCTTAGACAGCCAAGCGGAAAGTTTGATGCTATTTATATGTAGGAAAGGAATATAACAATGATTGTCCATTTTCCAGTTTTCGGTCTTAAGAGCTACGGTTTTCGAGTAATGTAGCTTTATTAGGTGTACGTTCCTTGAAGAATAAATTCAATCGCAACTTCGTTGTTGCGAAGAAGAAGAAGGTAAGAAGACCTTATCAGTTGATTGAAGATAGTTCTGGCGCATTGATTATTTCCCTTCATAAAGAAAATATACATTTGATATATTTTGCTAAAGTCATACCGTTAATTTGATCTTGTATGCTATGAACTAAATGCATATAGCTCGACAGAAATAAGAATGCCGCGACGGCGATGTGTGGAGGAACTGGAAGAAAACTGTCTGTTTAAAGGCAGATGTGGGCTACTCGTTCGGTGGAGATCCCCATCTCCCGACTCTATTACTATAAAGGTTTTCTGAGGCGAATCGTTCAGGCGACGCGACCCGTTCAAACCTATACTATAATAAAGAGACGGCGAACGGAAGTGGGTCTATGACGGGGGGTAGCATAAGAAAGGGCGAACCCTACGCCGTACTAGTGGCAGTAACACTTATCAAGAAAAACACCTCGTAACCACTTTGGAGAAAAGAGGAGGATCATACTCCTGATTAGCAGCAGCAAGCAGGACCGTAACATCTTGACGACGTACAGTGAGCGATAGTGCGACCTATTTAGGTTAATATCGGCCCTAATTGTGGGTTAGAAAACCAGGTGATTTACACTGCTGGATAGTCTGTAGTGCCACCCTTAGGGGTTCCTTGTCACACGTTGCATAGTTATACTAGTTTTGCTTCACACCCTTAAGTGTGAAAGTTAAGGTAAGGTGGTTTGCTAATCCTTTCTCATTTTTTGTTTCTCTAACTTTACGAATAATAATGCAAGCAGAGCTATAGGAGACATCTTGAATATAACAAATTCATTGGAGAACCAATGTTTTGAGGAATGGTTATGCGAGAGTCGGTTGAAAAGACAGCCAGCGGAGAAGTGTCCGGGTGAAACTTGGCAAGAGTTGAGTGATAACTTCAGGTCTGTGAAGCAACGTCTAAAATCTAAACAGGGGGGTTTTGACTACTGACCTAGCAACCAGATTAGTGAAGGCTTTCGTGCTCTTTAGTACTGCTGCTTCGTTAACTTACGTCGAAATTCTATCTTGGTTGGGGCTCATATACATATATATATATATATATATATATAGAGGAATTACTAACAGTTTACTTTTTTTTTGGCTGATTAGGTATAGCATGGTTGGACGCCAGCTGTTGAATATCCTACCTTAATTGCTCGAACTTCATTGCAAGCTGTAAGCTAAATGATGTCGATCCAGCTTCAATGCCAATCCACATTAAACCTAGATACGTATATACCGTTTCCGATTATTTTCAACGAGTAAACGCCTACATAGATGCGCTGCATTTAAAATCTGTTTAAGAGCGTGAATTTGACATAGTGGGACTGTCCGGCTGAACTCTGATCACCGTTTGATTTTAGAAATTTAGATGGTTGCTCGAGCGACCATTGATGAAATCATCGCTCTTCGTCTTCGACGGGATCATGTACGCAGCTATCTACGCTCCATCGCAGCTATCCTCCTTTCATTTAATCGTACTAATCATACTCGCTTGCTACCACAACGTTGCTTGATTTGGTCATCAATATTAGCCAAGGACACAATACCGCCGCGTCCGTTCTCTAGTGGATACTCTAATGAAGTAAAAGACGTAACAAAACATTCACCTGTGCTTACGTCATATGGGTCGATCTTCAATTCGCTAATGATGCACTCATATAATAATAATAATAATAAACACGTCATGGAGTGCTACTTATTCGAATGGAACAGCGTCACCCTAGATACTGAACGGTACAGAATAGAAATAAAAAAAAAAAAAGATATTTTCAATTTAGAATTAACAACACACGTTCGCTTTGGTTAAATCTTATAAAATACCATACCTCGATAATATTTATTATTATTAGAAATTGTTATTAGAAAAGTAGTGTATCCTGATTGGAACGTTATGGGACTAGGCAATTGTCGAGAGCGTCATGATAAGGTACTTAAGGCTAAATCTATTTTATCAACGCCTGCCCGAACTACGCTATAGCTCAAGAGTATACCCACAAAGAAATTTGTCAATAACCTACATTTAAAAGAAGCTTTATAGCTTTCTCTTCTAGTTTTGGGTAAAGGCGGCTTCAGAAGAAGACGTTACGATTGATGTTATAGTCTCAGAGGTCATCAGAACTTTAATATCTCATTCTGTCCGTACGGGTCTACAGTTCCATTAGACACTGGCATGTGCTATTCATTCATTTTTTTTGCTCGCGATTTTACTCTTTTTTTTTCTGTCTGTTTATTTGAAAACGAAGCAGCATGTCTGCAGACGCGATATTCTTCCAACGATTTCCCAAGTAACATGGCAGAGAACCAATATCCTGATTGGCTCGCCATCTAAACAAGTACTGTCTAAACTGGCCTATCCTACTTTTGGACACAATAAGCAATGCAGCGACAGAAAAAATCAAGACTTAGTCATTTGCAGGAAACAGCACGCCGACCGTATTACCGGACGGTAAAAGTAGATCGGCAAATTACGAACAAGAACGTCGAGTTGACTAGATAGCTCAGTTTAAGAAAAGAAAAAAGAAGAAATTGGGAACCTCGTAATTACAAAGACGATCGTCGGCCTAGGCGAGCCTAGCAGGACGTAATGCCGGGCCGAGGAATGTTCACAGGTAACAACGATGTCTTAGTGAATTGCTAGCTGCTGCCAGTCACTAGAGTCAAGCAAATTTCTTCGTTTTGACGTTTTGGACTATTTTTTTTTTTTTTGTATATTTTGCGTTTCCTTCCATTGCTGCTAATTTCTACTTTTTCTACGCCATAACGCAAACTTTTTGCATTTTCCACCATCTTCTCGAAAACTTCTACTGTTTGGTTTTACCTTTACAAAAGACTTTACGGTCTCTTTGTTTGCCATTGACTGCTATAGTCTAATTTACTGCCTGACAATTAGGGAGATGAGAAGGGACCGCGATCTCATTGTGGGCTTACAGCATCTTTTGCTGCTGTACATTCCAAACGGCACTTGACCCATTCATAATGCTTTGACGGTGCATACCCATTCAGCATATTCAAACTGCCTCCTTCCTGAAGTTTCACGATTTGTCTGCTTTGTTGGTTGGTCTCTCTTTGATTTAAGCCCGATTGGGGCTTCCGTTGCTGGCAGTCATAACCTTGCTGAGATTAGTGGTTAGAAACGAGTCAACAAATCCTTCTCTTTTGCTTGTTTCGATCGTAGTACCGTAATAAAAGAGGCGCTAAAATGTATTTTGTAAGAAATTCATAATTTAAAAGATTTAACTTGAACATTCTCAAGTTGTCAAACACGTATGAAAAAAGCGGTTGTGAAAATGTCTGATCGGAAAGCCTATGTGTGTGTGTGTGTGTGTGTGTGTGTGTGTGTGTGTGTGTGTCAGATCGAATAGAAAAACATAATGAGACCTGAAGGGATGAGCCACGTTTGCTAGACGGCTTCGGTTGAAATTTACATTCATTTGATTTCTATTACTAATGTACGTTCACAGCTTAAATGTGACGCATTAGATCTGTACATGTATCAGCACGTATCCACAGCAGTATGCTGGTTTATGATACCGTTGACGCCTATTCCTTCGTCCATAGGGTTTTAGCGTAATCATGGTCAAATAGGCTCATATATTTCATGGATGCATCCAGCCTAAAGGCTACTTGTATGTGCCGTTAATTAGAGGAAGTTGTTAATGAAACACGCTTTTCTCTCTAACATTTGCTGAGTTTTTGTTCACACGGAACTTAGAGTTAACTTTAAGCTTGGGTGCTTTCTTTGTTTAGAAATAGCACGGAGAACCACTGCGCCTTGTAACTGTTGCGATGCTATAGAAAGATTATGTACTGCGCTAACGAGTGCTCGACGCCAATAGCGAATCTAGACAGCAGTTTTCTTTTAGTAAAATTATTTCAGTGTGTTTTTGGCACACACACACACACACACATAGGGATATTTTTTTTAACCTAAAGCTCGTTATAGACAAGCAGAAATATATAGAACATACTTGATTTCCTAACGAGGCACGAAGTTACGTGCAGGAAGTGATAGGGTCCGCCATGACATTTACTTTCGTTTGGCTGCTGCTGCTGTGCCGATTAAAAGAATAGAGGCCCAACAACATCTTAAAGCGCCCCATTGTAAATTCAGCTTGCTTACTCACGGGTTAGTGACTATCATTGATAGGGGACAACATATGGCAGAAAAGCCTGCGTCTTTATATAGTCTATATTACGCGTCAATTTCCCTTATTACTTCTTGTACCGTTCAAAAGTTTAGACTGGTAGTGGTATGCATTTTCCTCGAAACAAACTATTATTTTTCATATTTGACATTACGCAAATATTGTTCTTTGTTAGTTGAAAAAAACAAAAAGCGTCTTTAAAGACTTGGTGCTTAACATGCTCGTGTCTTTATACAGTGTCGAACATTTAAAAACGGGCAATTTTTTATGAAGGCAAGGTCTTACGAAATCAATGAATGGCTCAGCTGGTCTTACTCCCCAGCATAGCCTCCGCTATCCGAAGCAAAATCTGTTTCTCACAGAATCGTCATTGAGGACATAATATGTAGTCGTTCTGAACATAAAATTTTACTTTTCACATAGAACACTGTGTCGATTTGGTCAAAAAGGAGAAAAAGCTATCCCAGGACACTACGAGTAGTTATTGCGCACTTGATTTTTTTGTGGCTCCTTATAAATGTGCTGCAGGGCATAAAAGCCGAAGAAAAATTTCGAGGGCTTGTAACGGTTCTTCCCTATACTTCTAAAACAAATCTCGCAAGATTTCACTTCGGTCTTCAGTTCTCACTATA